CTCTGTATCGAAAAGTCATCTTGTCAAAGTTCGGACGCAAAATACGTCTGGCTGCTACAACTAGTGCGCGGAGACTGACTGCAGCCACATACATTCGCCTACACACGTTCTGGCTGCGCGCAGCCAGCTGGCTGCCGTGCAAACAGGCGCGTTTTATTGGCTGCTGCAGCCGAAATTTCGTGGCTGCCTAATGCGCGGGCTCCTATACAACGTCATAATTTTTACTGGCTGCCGCAGCCTGGCCACCGCAGCCTGGCTGCCTAGTGCGCGCCCGGCCTAACTGTCACAATATATTTTTTCTAGCTAGTTACAAATATCAAAAACTTTTTTAACCCTAATTTATCTAATCACTGGTCTTAATTTACATCCTAATGGTTACGTCTGGCACTATAATAGCATTATTTTGGAAGGTCATTCAATTATACGGAATGTTTGGCGCATGGATCGACTCAATTTTTTTCAGGGATTTGAGAGGTCATTAGCTACCTTTTACACATAAACCTTTCGCCCGATAAGGTTATTTTTTTTTATTGAAATTAGAAATTTGGCCAATATGTTTGCTTTAACTCAAAATACCTTTTTTGTGTTTGGGTCTAGTCGCCAAAATAAATAAAGTCGCAACTTGAAGCAGTCAAGATTGACTGCTGCCACCCCTGCCCGCCCTCTTCATTACACGTCATTTTTTATTAACATAGAAATTGCTAACTGCTCGAGCTGTTTCTTATCAATGGCAACTTGAAGTTGTTGACTCTAACTGCAAAAGTGGTTCGTATATGTGCATCACTGGGTAACTGGCCAAGCAGTCCGTATTGTTGAGGAATAAGGAATAAAACCAGCGGATAGATAAGTTCAAATACGACAAGAGAAATTGTAACCTTGTTTCTTGTTTGTCCAAAAGAGTTACAAACACACATACGCGTCCGCGTTCTCTGATGCTGCAATAAATATACCATACCCATGATAGACAGTCAAGAAACGACCGCCGTAGCCGAAACCGTCGTTGGCTCCCCGTCTGACCAGAAACAGACCCGGGCGTACGGATCGTCGCGTTCCGCGCGCGCCTCAAAGAGCCATCAGACCACCACAGATGGGGCCCAATAGGGCCGATGCCGATTCGGAGTCGCGGAGAACCTAACGGGTAACCGGGGCTCCGGCGTGCTGGAGAAGGAACGGGGTGGTTTTTAGTCAGTAAGAGTCTGACACTCCCTCCCGCCTCACCCAGGCGGAAGCAGTCATTCAATGATTTTCCCCCCTTACAAAAATAGCCGAAACCGTCGTGGACGAATTATTATTGTTTTGGAAGTACGAATTGTATATCTGGACCCTGATCCATTTATTACTGTATACTAGGTACATATGTGGTTAATCTTAGAATCTGCATTCATTATACTCCCATATTTATTGTACTCCATTAATTCACTTCTACCAATGTAACTGCTGTGGTTTTGAGATACGACTGTACTTAAAGAATTTAACTATGTTTTTGTTGTAAATTAAATGTTTGTTATGGTGCAAATTTTATATTCCTATTCTCAGAAAAATACCATGACGTTTACCAAATATAATATTTAATACTTTCCTGTTTCTAACCTAAAAGAAAAACGAAGTGTCGAATTAACAAAGAAGTCTGACGTATTTATTACTTTTCTGAGTTGTCAAACCAGTCGCTTTGAGGAAAAGATTTTACGAGAAATGAAAAATCTTATGCCGACTGTTGCAGATTCGCTTTATTATGCTTTACACGGCGTATTATGATTAAAAGCGTGCGAGCATATATTTCTTAATTATTTTAATGTTATTATGGAACACACTTAGTACTAGTAGTAGTACTAGTATAAAACTTGTTTTCATCTAAACGAGCTTAATATTCTAAAAAGTCGAGAAGAATGCGGCTATCGTTTCCTCCCTTTATTCTTTAAAATTCTTTATATACTTATTCGATTTTAATAGATCTATACTTACTTTTCATTTTGTTCACGACCTTTAGGTAGATGATTCATCATTCATGACCTATCTACTTAGAGAAGTAATGCAAAATGAACGTTTTCCTCTTTCTGTGACTCAGACAGAACAGACCAGTCATTTTGTAGGTACTATACAGGGGGTTGGGTCTTGGGCCACCCTGTTTGTGGAAATGGCCGGGATTTTCGTGAGAAAATGCATCATCGAATATATATTAGAAAATTATTCCTTGTTTTGGAGTGCATTAAAAATGTATTTTGTTTTTTTGTTGACATGAATTTAGTACCTACTATAATGTTGGTTAGCCGACCTCGCTTTTAAAATAGGATATTTTTTATACTTTAATTTTAATTTATTTAAAGTTCTATGTTCGCGTGTAGATATTCCATTACGAGATCTCTAAACAATAAACGTTAAATCTATTTAGACATGCGCACTCATGTCTCATGATTAGTCATGATGCGTACTGGAAACTTAATTAATAATATGCTTGTGAGCTAGCAAATTCATTGTGCATGGAATTTTAAATAAATATTATTGTTTCTGTTTTATCTGTCAAGTTCTTTGTGTTAAATTATAATTGTATACACTCATATGAATTAATATACAGTTTCTTGTATTAAATAAAGGGAATTTTCAATTTTCGTTGCAATAATATTACTTATCGTAATTCAATATTTGGTTAATTTTCAAGTTTGGCACTTGAAAAGTAGAAAATAATGTGATAATGAATAAAAATTTAACAAGGCATCTTTTAGCAAAAGACCTGATACCGAACATTATTTTATTTATAAAATAACTGATTGATCGTTAAGTCATATCTCAAAATTCATTAAACCAATCTCAATAACCCATCTGTAACCTTTAAATCTATCTGTCGGTTTACTTATTTTTGCGATAGGATATTGACGCAATCAAGACGCTACCAATGACCTTTGAAAGACAAACGATGTAATGAAAACAAAAGTAATAACATTTTTGGTATCAGAAGAAAGTAGCGACAGCAGTTAACATCATATACAAACGGCCGCCCACTCAACGCCGACACATTATTAACGTTAATGACAAATAAACGTGGGGAGCTTGTCAGCTTGCTAGTTGCTACACACAAATTAAACAGTACGACCAACAACGCACGTTTTTAATTGGAAAGACAGGAAATAAGCTATTGGGAATTGAAGCATAGTGCTAGTTCTCACTGTCGGACCAATTTCAATGTGTTATGGCTGCAAAATGTTATCATAACAGTGGTCAATGACATACATGAACCACGGGTTATCGAAACAGTGGATTTATTCGTGTTAGACATTATAACTGTTGTAATTAAGACTGTTAATGTAAGGTTATTTTGTATACAAAGAGCCTTTATTTATCTTAAGCTATTAATGATAATGAAAGATTAAATTTTTATAAAGGGGTAACTTTGTCTTTACTATACTAAGACCGCAAGTGCGGGCTGTGGAATATACATTGTACAAAAATTGAAGTATTGTTGAGAATGACTGTGGATTAGTATAAACAAGAAAGACTATTAGAAGAGTTACGGTGTCTACTTACACATTCGGGAAATAGTAAGCCTAATGTGGTTTTTGCTTCTATGTAAGATCTATTAGTATATCAATAACTGCATTCATAGGTCTCCCTATAGAGTTGTATAGATAAATTGTTTATAATTGATCAATTGTGTATCTGATTGCCCAATTGGTTCCATGCGGTATCGCTTATTGGCGGAAATTAAACATCAATATTGATGTGATACTCACACGGTTAGATTACCGTGGCAACATTAAAGTAATTGAAAGAAGTATAACTACTTGTATTGCGTGAAAAAATAAATTTAGCGAAATAAGTACTTAGTTCTAACAGCTGCAAGTGAATCCCTATCATACTGTCCGACTTACATGATTGTGATCGGGCTTTAAATAACATGATTGCACATAATGTTCAAGTTAAATGTATGTACGTAAGTCCAATTTCGTAACATAGCTAACATAGCTAGTTAACCCTTAACTCGTCAGTCACAATTAAAGAACAATAGGTCGCGGTCACCGGTGACCGCTTGGTGTTTGACAGATTAATAAATATGTATTTATATGGCATTAGGTGGCTCATTAAATAAGTATTGATGAACGATGTAGCCCTGGTGCGCTATGCCCCTGGTTAGTTTATACAGTAAAGTATTTTTAGACTACACGTAACAAGTCTAGATATTACCTTCGCAGAAACAATTATATTTTCGTATACTTCTTAGTAAAAACTTGTCTTCAATATAAGAAATATATCACTCAACTGTTTGTTTAGAAAACGTGACACCTGGTAGCTATTTACTATTTAATAAACAAACAATTGCTCTTTGACTCATGCATCTAAGTCATTATTACACTGTGCTTATTGAAGACAATTGTTTATTAAAGCAAATAAACTGTCAATGCGTTGCACAATGATAGCAATTGACGCGTTTTCTGAGACCGACCGTTACTGTTGTTGTCGCAGACATGGATGATGTCGGAATTATTTTATAAGTCTGCCTTTATGACTTCGATTTACTGAGCTATGTGTCTATATTTATATATTATTCATATAGTATTTTATTTTGTAATTCAGTCAGAGCCACAAACAGACTAGTTATTGGTTTCATCAACTTTAGGTGTAATGTGTATGAAAAAGTATGTTCGGTATTATCAATACCAAAGCTTGGTTTCTCTTAATGACCACTATGACTAACAGTTAAGAATAATTATTAAAAACGACGCTCCGTGATACCTAAACCATTGACGGCCACAGTATGATTAATATTGCTTTTAAAGCTGAAGTTGTTGTCTCTTACATTAAGTACACTCGCGAGTAATTCCTAAGTAATATCTTCTAATTTATTTAGTTGCGGGATCCAAGACAGTTCGTGTCTCTGGGACCGGCCGGACACCGGACCTCAGTGTTTCGATGTTTTCATGGTTATCTTGTAGATCCTGGCTCACAACTCTTACTAACTCTTTACTTTTTATTTTATTTAAATTCGTGTTCTATCTTTTTCATTTCAGCATGGAACCTAGAATATGCTCTGGACAGTGGAAGCTCGAGTCCGTTTCGCTATGATGTCGAAACTTTAGACCATAGTATTCGTCAGCGAAGAGATGTGCCTCCGCCGCCCTTGCCCTCACCGGTAGCTTCGCCTTCTAACTTGACCCCAACGCAACCTGCTCCCCTGTCGTCTGATCCCGCGCCAATAACGAGCAACATAACGTCGTCGAATGCTACACCGGGCTCCAACAAAACTGCCAATACAACTGAAAGTAAGTGAAGCTGTTCTAAATCATGTTCCTATAAAAACCATTTTTAAACATTCATATGTTATAAGTTCATCTCGTAATATTTTTCTAATTAGACCATAGATCTCATAATAAACTTGCAGAAATTGGAATATACGGAATGTCATTCATACGCCGATGATTAAAGAACAACACGTGACACGACTTCTAAAACTAAAAACATCTACTTATCTATTTAAATTCTTGTGTAAACCGTGTTCCATAAGTAGATAAAACATGTTTACGTGTGTTCTTTGTAATATGTTTAATTTAATAGTGCATGCTACTCGGGCTTCGGTATTTATTAAGTAGATTTATGGAGCTCGCGTGTAACAAGGTTAAGAAGTTGGATAGATAAATGACTGCATAGAAGTATATCAATCATTTGAAGCTAAAAAAGGCTTAATTTATTTAATTGTGTCGTATTTGCTTATGAATATGTTGCCCAAACGTAAATACAATTTAAGTTGGAACTCCAGTGGGAGATACGATACAACCATAAAAACACCGGGACACTGAAGTCCGGCGCGTCCCAGCGACATATGAATAACTGTCTTGTTTCCCGCAACAAAGTGAACCAGAGGATATTATAAGAGAAGAAGAAAACAATAGTTTTCACTTCCCTCGGTGAATTACTGCAGGAGACAATGAATTAAGCCTAAAGGCACAAAAAAGAGATTGTACAACTGGGTGACGCCCAGTCGCCAAGCACCATGGAAATTTGACTAAAAACTAAATGGGTCCTATGTGTGTGCTGTTAAACTTGCTTCCAATAATGGGTATGGCTAAAGCGCCTAAACGCACGGAATTTTGTGTGAAATTCCACAAGGTCCGTTATACAGACTACGCTAAGCTAAGCTACACCTAACGAAACAATTAAACTATTTAACATAGTGTTACGTTCATATTGCCAGGGATCAAACTCCCCGAGTATTTGATGGGCAGACTGCTCGTATTGCAACCCCGCTGTCGAATATTGGCACTATGGTGAATCAACAAGTTTAAATGAGAACATATTTGCTTTAAAAGTTGCCGTGGCCAGTAAGAAATTGGGCAACACAGTGATCCACCTCCAACCATGTGCTCTCCAGCCGCTCATGCACGGATAGGAAGAACTGATATAGGTGGCGGCCCTTAATAGAAGATTCCCATCTACACTGCCATTCAGTTATAAGCTCATCCCAAACGTCCTTTAATGGCTTTAAACAATGCTTGCTGACAAATTAGGTTTCGCATTGTAGTAAATAGCAGCAATATTTTAAGAGTACAGGGTGGGTTTATTGGAATGGACTAAACATAATTCCAAATATCTCATCTAAAGTTCTCCGAGCCGAGGATATAACGTAAGACTCAAAACAAATGAGATAGTTAAATGTAAACAGTTAAAAAGCATGCAAAAGAACAATGCCCACCTTCCATACATTTGAAAACCTGATGATGAAAGTATATGTATAGTTATAAGATACAGTAGAAATACTTCCTGTAAGTTTAAAAAGTAATGTCTAATATTCATTTCGGCAATTTAAACGCCACGAGCTTCAAAAAAAAAAATGTTCCTTTTTAGGTTAGGATTTGCCGTCACCAGAAATAATGAAACTAACGTGCATGAACTAATTAATTACGCTCGAAGTTTAGTCTAAAATAGGAATATTTAGCTAACTATGGTCTAAGACATCTATTTTACTCAGTTAATTGCTTATAACTAACTGCCCTTAAGTCAATGCTAAGACTCTCATGATTTTCACTATTAAATGAGTGTTGTGTTAAAAACTGCATTCTTCAGGATTCAGGACCAATTATTTATTTTCTAAAACATTAAGCAAAGTATACGTCGACTTGTTGCTGATGGCGGCATTGTCAACAAAAGGATTTACAACGGTATCAGATACGGTAAGCCAAGGTCGTCAGATGAGGAAGATATCGGGGTCCAGGGGCGGTAAATAGGGTCGTAATAAGGAAGAAACACACAAAATAGCACAGTACACAACGAGACGCGTGCGGTTTATGGCCCTCTACGGCGCCCCTGTTTGGGCGCCGAACCTGCTGCAGCGGCCCGCTCGGGCGCTGCTTATGGCACAGAGGGTCATGGCGATCCGAATGATCCGCGGATACCGCACGATCTCTGGGGAGTCGGCGAACCTCCTTGCCGGATTACCGCCGTGGGATCTGGAGGCGAAGGTGCTCGCGCGCGTGTATCGCATGCGCGCGGAGGCACGCTGCCGGGGCGAAACTCCGCTGCCGCGCCAGATAAGTGCGTGGCGGGATGAGCTCCGGCGCGCTCTCATGGCGGAATGGCAGCAACGACTGTCGCAACCGAGGGCTGGGCTCGCTGCCATTGCAGCGGTAAGTCCCCTCTTTGAGGAGTGGCTTGAGAGACGCTACGGCGTCCTCACCTACCGCCTGACGCAGGTCCTCACCGGACATGGAAGTTTCGGAGTACCTGTGTCTGATGGGGCGGAGGAAACGCCCGGGTGTCATCACTGCGAGGACCACCCTGAGGACACGGTGGAACACACTGTTGCGGAATGCCCTGCGTGGGCTGAGCACCGCCGTGCCCTCAGGGAAGTGATCGGCGATGGAGACCTCTCGCGTCCGGGCCTAGTGCAGGCCATGATGCGGAGCGAGGGGGACTGGGATGCCGTCTCCTCCTTTTGCGAAGCAGTCATGCTGGCTAAGGAGGAGGCGGGACGCGTGAGGCAGCGAAGCGCTGCCTCCTCGCAACCCAGCCATCGCGAAGGACACACCGGGCGTCGGGGATCGCGGGACGATCTCCGGCCACCGTAAGCGCGGGCTTGCGGACGGCGAGCATGGGTGGCTCCCCGTCCGACCAGAAACAGACCCGAGCGTACGGCGCGTCGCGTTCCGCGCGCGCCTCAAACAGCCATCAGACCACCACAGATGGGGCCCAATAGGGCCGATGCCGATTCGGAGTCGCGGAGAACCTAACGGGTAACCGGGGCTTCGGCTCGACGTGCAGGAGAAGGAACGGGGTGGTTTTTAGTCAGTAAGAGTCTGACACTCCCTTCCGCCTCACCCAGGCGGGAGCAGTCATTCGATGATTTTCCCCCCTTAAAAAAAAAAAAAAACAACGAGACGCAAGCGCAACAACGAAGGACTGCGCCCGGCGTTGATGCAAATCACAGAACTGTCAAATGTCAAAAAATCCATTTCACTTGCCACTTGTCTTGAGTGTGCACTCAATGAAACATTGAATGATCAATTTATTTCAATTATTTCTGTTACTTCCAAATCCTATACTTTATACCATAACTAAAAAAAAAATAGTTACTGATCGAATTAAATGTAAAATAAATATAAAAGTAAGGAACAAAGTTAATATGGTCAACCAACATTATGTAAAATGGAACGTTTTAAAAAAAATGATAGTTTGGATGCGTTCAAAATATATCAATAAGTTAATTCCGGACGTAGAATTAGCATAAACAAATGTAAAAATATCTTTTTTTCCTGCGTTTCTTTTAACATTGTAATAAGCGTAATTAATATACAATTTAATAAGCTATATTTTAAGATTTATTTCATTTCTATACATAGTCAGGTCAAAAATAAGCATCCTTCTTTGTTTAACCGAAACTGTGCCACATTTAAACAGTAAGGAGACGAGTAAATGTCATTGTATATGTGTAATCTTCAATGATAATGTCATTTTATTTGCTTAATGTTATAAACGTGTTCTTTTACTTTGCATAAAAATCATGTTTAACTCCTACCGCGTTAATGCATTATAATGTATTTTCACACACCTTTTATTCTTCTATGAGAGAGCAGTGGTATACAAGCACATATTAAATGTATCTCTTAGATTTTGCGAGTTCTTATTTGTTATGAATTCCGTACCTTATATTACGGGGCAAGCCTATATACAGCACCGCAGCGGGCACTAATTGTTAAAGCCAACAATGTATTACACAGTAAATACATGTACAGAAGTCAATGATTCATGCTAAAATTTGTTTAAATTGTATACTGGTACAATTTCTTTTATATTTCACACCAAGTATCTGTTAGGCATATTAGGGATTGAGAAGAAAGATTTAGTCGAAATCTATCACAGTTTAACCCGTGGTGTCCCGGGACGCAGATCTACGCGAGACAATGTATCTTGTATTGTGTCTTATATACCGGCTTATATTCAAAGATTAATCTTGCTGTTTTACAGTCTTAAAACCGAGTGTCACAAATTACAAAGTCAAGAATCTCAAAACATAACTAACATTCTATAACTAGATCACTGTATACATCTATAACTAAAGTTTAATTTTCTCATATACAAAACACAAATAATTTTGTATATTCAACAGTATCTAATCACAGTAAGTAAAATTGTCCAAAATCCACAATGTTATCTAAAGTAAATTCAACGCGAACGTCGGTCGCTGTAATAAGAGTTCCATACCTGTATAACTCATTATTATTTGAATTCGACTATTATAACCAAGTTTAGTAATTGTTGAGTTTGACAAGCTATGAAAAGGCTGCATTCATTAGATTTTAATCGTTCATTCATTAGTAACAGCATACTGTTACTTACTTAGTGGGTCTTAGCGACCCACTAAGTTTAATTCTGAGAATGTAATGACCCAATTGGTTCAATATGTTTATATTTCTACCTAAATGATCCACCGTGAATTTGAAACCGGTTGACAGTATAATATCGTGTTTTATTCCACCCACCCCTGTATTTATTGATCGATGACAATCCAGATGTCTATTTATAGAATGTAGGTACAGGCTTGAAGGGAAGAGCCCTCGGCGTTTGTCTAATACGTAGGCACATAATTATTATATCAATACGCATACATAACTCTCCCTCCTGTGTTTCTGTATCCTCCGTATTATTTTATTCTGATGTTTTCTTGATGATGATGACAATATTTCTTCATATAGACATATGGTCACGCCTCTGTCCACTAGGGGTATACAGACTAGTCAGTCACACACCAGACACAAACCTCTATTCTGTC